ATCCAGCATGATTCAATGACCCAAGATAAATGAAGGGGTATTACAAAAACTCCCACCAGCAGATCAGACGCAGCCAAAGAGAGGATGAGGATGTTGGCAGGTGTGTGGAGCTGCTTGAAGTGACTAACAGAGATGATGACCAGCAGGTTTCCACACACGGTCAGAAGAGCCACAGCTGCTGCGGCCACATACAGAATCACATAGACAGATAAAGAAACAGATCTCTCTGGACACGAGTAGTCCTCGCACATATCAGTTTGGTTCACTGCTGTAAGATTCATTATGAAACATTTGGAAGAAAAATCCAAATAGAGTATGTTTTCCTGTGACTTTCTTCATGTGAAAACCGTATACTGTAAGTACAGATCTCTCAAGATGTTTTCGTCTCTCCAACAGCTGTGAAGATCTCCTCAGTGAATGTGCTCTTGTAGCTTTCACTGCAGCACTGAGCAACAAGCTACACTGCTTTTTATACACTTGACATGTTGACTCTTTCTGAGCATCAAGGGGGAAGAACATACAGCTGGGAGATCAACTGATTCTGTTCATCCAGAAAAACGGAATATGTGTCACACATTCATTAGGGTGACCTTTGACCCAGGAAGGCTGTAATTACCTTTTCTACGAGCAGGGAATCATTTACTCTCACCTGCTTAAAGAGATAGGCCAGAAATAAAAATCTGCTGTTACTTCCCTCACTTTCAGGTCTTTGAAGATGAAGAAGATTCTTTTTGGCTGAACAAACCCTTTAACAATCTTAGATTGCTTGCACAGTATAGGGATTGGACAATGAAATGGAAACACCTGGTTTTAGACCATGTTAATTCATTAGTATGATGTAGGGCCTCCTTTTGAAACCAATACAGCATCAATTCATCTTGGGAACGACATATACAAGCCAGGCACAGTGGCCAGATAAACTTTGAGCCATGCTTCTTGCAGAATAGTGAGCAGGTCACTACATGATACAGGTGGAGAAAAACGTTTCCTGACTCGCTCCTCCAAAGCACCCCAAAGTGACTCAATAATATTTAGATCTGGTCACTTTGCAGGCCAATGGAGATGTTGATGGACAGGGCCGGAGTGGGACTCATTTTCAGCCCTGGAGTTTCAAGCCAGACCGGCCACACTCAGTTCACGACTGATTCCAATTCAGTTTCTAATGGCACTATCACGTCTTTTTCAAGAAAACAGCTGCTTTAGAAATTCTGATGTTCAACAGCCCTAACAGTATTATATGTCTTAACAAAAAAAAAGAAAAAAAAAGAAGAAAATTGTCAGGTAAGGTTTGAACACAGGTCCGCGGCAATGATATGCAACATGTTTACCACTGGACCACAATAGCGCTATTACAGCCAGAGTAAAAAATAACTAATGACTTGCGACCCTTAAGACACACCACCACTTTCTTTTTATGGCTCAATGTTTTTCTCCCCTTTTTAGATTTCTGATCATGTCAGATTTAATAATGTAGTGAATCATTTGATTTTTATTGAGCAGGTGTATTATTCATTTTATTCGAATTCTTATATTCACTAAGGTGCCGCTGTTTGGGGTCGTTAGTTGCATTACATCATCATCATTAACGTTAGTTAACCTGCGGGCTGCATTTTTCTCACAGGGCTGCGAGAAAATTAATAAAACGAGCGGCACTGCGGCAAAATAATGAATAAAAAGAGTGAAGCTATGGTCAAATAAATAAATAGAAGAAAAAAGTGTGACTGCTGAGAGTGCAAGCAGCTAGGGACACCGGCCAAAAAACAGACCGGCCCACCGGGAATTCTCCCGGTCCTCCCGATTAGCCAATCCGGGCCTGTTGATGGAGATGGTTGGCATGCTTCTTTGGGATTTCTCCTCACCATAACTCTCCAATATGTGGGAAAGACAGTGAAGGTGGATTGTACTAAAGTTTGTTGGTTATTTTTTTGTTGGTTAGTTTGTTGGTTTGTGGGTTATTTTGTTTCGGCCTGTGAATCCCCTAAAACTTAAAGGGCTGTACATGCCTAAATACATTGAGTTGCTGCCATGTGATGCATATTAGAAATTTGCATTAACGAGCAGTTGAACAGGTGTACTTAATAAAGTGGCCGGAGAGTGCAGACCACATAGATCAACGAGTGATCCAGTATTTCTAATGCCTAGTTCAGACTGCGTGATTTTAGCCCCGATTTTGGCTCGCCGACAGGTTTTCAGAAATCGGCGACAAATGCCTGAAATCACAGGCAAATCGCTGCTCGTGCACGTAAGTGACAATCACACAGTATGAACTATCAAAGACGCGATCTGAGAGAATCGTCGATGAGTCACCGATGCCTGTGAGATATTTGGCGTGCTGAATATCTGGAGCTGTCGGCGATTCAAATCATGCCGTGTGAATTGAGTTTTGACTGAAAATAACATCAGCGATCGCCTACAGCCAATGAGAGAGCAGCATTCACTTGTGTGTGCGTGTGTGTATACCTGCTGCAGGCCAGCAGGAGGCTGGGGGAGAAGTTAAAAGCGCTCTTTTTCGGTTTATTTGGACCCACGAAATGGAGGAAAAACTAGTGGAGGTTTGACAGGACTCAGGAGCAACTGTGTCTGTTTGACGTTTCATACAGAAAGAAATTAGTTTATTATCAATGTTGAGGAGAAATGGCTAATTCCCTTTAAACCCAGGTGAGCAAACATGTACATGTTCAACCCCATTAAAGGCTTCTTTCTCATTATGTAGTTAATAACAAAAGATATACTACGTGTTTTTGGCTGTGAGACGTAGTTTGGACGAAGTTGTCGGCAATTCTTTCTATAGTAAAGTCATGCAATGTGAAAGTCCCTGTCGCCGATCCATCTTGCAGTGTAAACAAAGCAGCAACGAAACGCTAGCCCAGATAGTCAAGCAGTGTGAAAACATCTGTGACACGACTAGTTTGAAAATCATGTAGTCTGAACTCGACATTATATCACCAATATATCTAAGTGATCTCTCCAAAATGTGTAGAGATTCTTGTTTATTGGGACAAAATTAATGTGTCCAAGCACTTCATAAGACTATTGAGGTGTTAAACAATAATTCAGGCATCATGGTGGCGCAGTATCACTGCTACGCTGATGACACAGATTTACATCAGTGCTCTCCCTGATCTCACCTCTGCCACATCAGTTTTATCTGCCTGTTTACGGGAAGTTAAAGCCTGGATTAATCAAAATGTCCTTAAATTAAACAGTTCTAAAACAGAGGTTCTACTAATTGGGACTCCTACCAGTGTTAACCAGTGTAATGTTTTTAAACTCTCTGTTGATGATCTACAAGTATCTCCCTCTACCCAAGTGCGCAACCTTGGGGTGGTTTTTGATGCACAGCTTAGTTTTAACTCACACTTCAAACACTTGACTAAAATAGCCTTCTTTCACATACGTAACATTGCGCGGATTAGACCTTTTTTATCACGGCCTGATGCGGATAGGCTTATCCATGCCTTTATCACATCACGTCTTGATTTCTGTATAGCTCACTCTTCGGGGGCCTACCAGCAAGCTCTCTGAGACAATTACAGTACATTCAGAATTCTGCTGCACAGGATTTGACGCACACTTCCTCGCGCCACCATATCACTCCTGTACTTCAGCAACTTCGCTGGCTTCCTTTTAAGTCACATATTGATTTTAAGACTCTGATTTTAACATACAAAGCAGTGCATGGGCTAGCACCTGACTACATCTGTGACCTAGTCTGCATTCTTCATCCGGACTTTTGCTGTATCAGCCACACTGTGCACTGAAGACTATGGGTGGTCGTGCTTTTTCATACAGTGTGCCTAAGCTATGGAATGGCCTATCCATCAGCATCAGGAATGATGTTTCTCTGGACTGTTTCAAGAAACTTCTCACGATTCACATTTTTACCGTTGCTTTTAACTTTTTGTTAATTTCATCATCCAATTGTATTGAATCGTTCATATTTTATTGTTTTATTGTGCTCTTTTTTTCTACTTTTTTTATTGTTCTGCTTTGTTTGCCTTGTATGCCTTGTAGCGCTTTACGTCTGAGAAAAGCGCACTATAAATAAAATGTATTATTAGTGGTTAGCACATTCGCCTTACAGCGAGGTCGCTGGTTCGAGCCTAGGCTGGGTCAGTGGGCATTTCTGTGTGGAGTTTACATGTTCTTCCCTTGTTTGCGTGACCTTCCTCCGGGTGCTCCGGTTTCTATCACAAGCCCAAAAACATGGTGAATTGGGTAGGCTAAATTGTCTGTAATGTATGTGTGTGAATGAGTTTGTATGGCTGTTTCCCAGTTATGGGTTGCGGCTGGAAGGGCATCCGCTGCGTAAAACATATGCTGGATAAGTTGCCGGTTCATTCCGCTGTGGCGACCCCAGATTAACACAGAGACTAAGCCAAAAAGAAAATGAATGAATGAATAATAATTCACAATATAATGCATATTAACCCTTTAAATATCTGATTTCACAATAATATTTGATGTATTTTAATTAAACTGAACATTTTTTTTTTTGGATGGAAGGCAGGCACTGATCACATACAGAACAGTGTGGAACGCAAAAAACAATATTGCACTAATATACAATGATATAATTGTTAAAATGTAAGACATTAAGTGTAATATAATTACTTATTTCCAGAAATGCCACAGCAAATTAATTTTGACATTCATTTTATGTGGAAATTAAAAAAGTCCTGATGATACTTACTGTATCTAGACTTATGTAAAGCTCATTAACACTTTTGACTCATGCTGTATTTCAAATGATACTCATATGCCGTGTTATTTCATTCACAAACTTAAGACAATTTGTTCTAATAAATGCATTGTTCAACAATTCCATTTATTTAACAAAATAAGTGAGTTGACATTAAAGAAAAGTGTAACACAAAAGCAAAAAATCCTTCTTTCTCATTTTCTGCAGCACAACATAATGCAGAAAAAGCATAACCTGTAGGCAAATTCACCTTACAGCAATAAAAACGTAGGAAGAATTCTGTCTCACATTAAATTACCTACATCACATTCATCAGCGAGGAGTCTTTATGAAAGACTTTAAATGTGAAAATCAATTTTAAGCTTTTCTTAAACCAGGAATAGAATAAAGCGTAAATGATGGGATTAATGGTGGAGTTCAGGAAGAAAAATATTACAGCAACATCTCTGACAAAATTTATAACACTGCCATATGGTATCACTAAAAAAGTAATATAATACGGCAGCAAACAGAGGAGAAACACAGGTAACGCTTTCTTTTACAACCCGCAAAGTACCGCGTAAGTACAGTGAAATTACAGTGTACTTTTCTGTACGTACTGTGTAAGTATAATGAACGTATGTGTAGGTATGAGGGAACAAACCGTAATGCTTTGGTAAAAAGGGGGTAACAACCAGATGTTCATCACGAAAATTACCGCGTAAGTACAGTGAAATAACGGTGTACTTTTCTGTACCTATAGTGTAAGTATAAATAACGTTTACGTAAGTATAAGGGAACAAACTGTAATACTTGGGTAATAAGGGGGTAGCAACCAGATATTCAGCATGAAAGGTACCGCGTAAGTACAGTGAAATAACGTTGTACTTTTCTTTAAATTGCAAAAGAACAAACCATAATGTTTGCGTAAAAGGGGAGTAACAATAAGATATCCATCACGCAAAGAAATATATTAAGTTTACGATGTACATTTCTTCAAGTATTGTATACATATAAAGAATTATGCAAGGATGGTGACAACTTATTGCTATCTGCAAATGTACTGTACATGCACCTGCGTGAGTACATTAGTACTCTTATTCAGTGCTTGGGTTTTATATGGGGTGTTTAATGAATAAAAGGTTTACAACCTGTGAAATTATGAACCCTTATTGTATACTGTATGTATTTTAAATCTGCAATTCAATATAAAATATATTTCCATACACTACTTACCTTATGTTTACTCGTCGATCTCACCAAAGCCATCAATGTCTCCATAACTCACTATCAACAAATAACTTTGCATGACATAGGCCTACCGTCAGGGTTTAATGCAGATTAAAACAGGCTCGCATCTTTACTGCTGTTGCACAGGGGGGCTAACTGTTGCATTTCAGTAAATGTATAGCTGATGCTTTATAGAAAAATCTAGTAATTTGGTCTTCAATCAATAAAAACTGCTGCTGTAGTTTACTCTGTTCTTAGTGTTCAAGTATACACTAGTATGTTAAAGTTCAGCTTCTTCCCTCTTTGTTCCCTGTAGTTAAAGGGTAAATACAGTATTTGTTCCCTCCTTGTTACCTGTACTTACAGGGTAAATACCACATTTGAGGGTTGTAAATTAAAGTGAAGCTTTGTTCCTCCCTTGTTACCTGTACTTACAGGGTAAATACCACATTTGAGGGTTGTAAATTAAAGTGAAGCTTTGTTCCTCTCTTGTTACCTGTACTTACAGGGTAAATACCACATTTGAGGGTTGTAAATTAAAGTGAAGCTTTGTTCCTCTCTTGTTACCTGTACTTACAGGGTAAATACCACATTTGAGGGTTGTAAATTAAAGTGAAGCTTTGTTCCTCTCTTGTTACCTGTAGTTAAAGGGTAAATACAACATTTGTTCCCCCCTTGTTCCCTTTAGTTTACAATGTAAAATCTTGAAGGCAGTGAAATAAATATACAAACACACAATATATTTATTCTTTACTTTGTAACCTTTATTTTAATAAATAAGCATTTTAAAAGACTTCATATTAATCAAACATTGTCTTGTCTATCATTGCCTATACTCATTCATTTTCTCTTTGGCTTTGTCCTTTTGTTAATCTGGGGTCGCCACAGTGGAATAAACCACCATCTTATCCAGCATATGTTTTACGCAGTGGATGCCCTTCCAGCTGCAACCCATCTCTGGGAAACATCCATACACACCCACTCACACGCATTCACTACGGACAATTTAGTCTACCCAATTCACCTGTACCGCATGTCTTTGGACTGTGAGGGAAACCGGAGCACCCGGAGGAAACCCACGCGAACGCAGGGAGAACTCCATGCAGAAACCTTTTTGATGTGAGGAAACAGCACTACCTACTGTGCCAACGTGTTGCCACCCAGCTGCAACCCATCACTGGGAAACATCCATACATACTCATTCACACACATACACTACGGACAATTTTACCTTACCCAATGTCACCACATATTTTTGGACTTGTGGGAGCACCCGGAGGAAACCCACGCTAACATGGGGAGAACATGCAAACTCCACACAGAAATGCCAACTGACCCAGCCGAGGCTCGAACCAGCGACCTTCTTGCTGTGAGGCGATTGTGCTACCCACTGCGCCTGCCTATACTCAAACAGCAAAATAACACATTATTTCCTTCCCCCTTTTTTTCTGGCATCTCTTGCTTGGCTTCCTCTTCTGCTCTTCTCAGCTTCCACTGAGGACTCTGATGGTGAGTGGCTGATGAAATCCCATGGGTCTTGCTGCTCTGCATTTATATAAAATATATGAACAGACAGAAAGGCTTTTAGTAAGCTATAGACATGTTTATTTTCCTGTTTAATGTGTGTGTAGTGGTTGTCCAACAATTTCACACACTAAACATTTACAGATACCATACCGACACTATACATTACTATCAAACAAAAGTACTATCATCAGATCATATGGGAGATTGTGATCATTTATAGTGATAATAATTAAAGCGCAGAGGGGAAAAGGCTTAAATAGTAGGCTACTGTGCTAAAGTCCTAGGCAAACGTTACTAGTAATTGGGTGGGGGGGGGGGGGGGCTATTGATATATCAAACTGGCATGCTACAGAAAATATCAATTTACATTTCCAAACATTAATTTTGTCATTAACTTTGCTGTAATTAACGTATAAAGGGAGAAAATCGTCTGCACAGTCAGTATGACAACAGCCACAGAGATCTGACCTGCTCATCATCCAGTCTTTCTGGAATGACATGAAGAAACTAAATCCATAGGAACTTTGGCAACATTTCTAAGATGTGCAAAGTAAACGACAGTAAACATTGGTAAATATTCGCTGCTGGCCGTTTAGATTCGGCCATGAACTAACGTTAATGTTACGCTAAAAACAAATGAAACAAAATAAATATAATCTGGTTAATGCACAATTTCTAATCGTAATCGTAACAATAGCCTTATTTACTGACAACGATTTACTCACATGTGTTACATGGTGACAAGACGGAGCAATTCCAAACGTCCCAAAAGTCTGAGCAAAACCTCGTGGCGTGCTGCTGCAGTTTGATTCGGATCTTTAGAGGCTTCTTGATTCACAACTCGTTTGAATCAACGAATCAGTAGGCGCGTACCTGAAGTGATACAATATCGCGAGATGGATTCAAATGCACACGGAGTTGTCTGTTGTTCTCGCGATGTTTTGATGTCACACTGATCGGTTTGTTGAAGACGAATCGATTCAACTCTCCGTCCTCCATTCCCAGAATTTCCTGTTCGCGGCAGTACAAGGACGGCAGCGCGAGGTAAATAAAACAAGTATTTTTATGACGTTATGTACATAGAAGTGTTTGTTTAGGTTTTTGTTTATATTTGATGTTTGTACCTATTTTTAACAATTACACCCTTTTCACAACACTGTTATGACGCGTTTAACGATCATCAGGATCTAAAATCCTTGAGTTTTTTTATATGATTTTTTTTATAAAATAACATTTATTTGTATTTACGTGTGCAGTATATAATATGATTACATGTGCGAGGTGTTTCAAACAGTGTCTATAGTCATGAGTAAATTAGAAGTTATTCTCTCTTCTTGCTGGCGTTATCAGTTTCACACTATATTTTTATTTTTCTAATTGTCGAGACAACACCATCGTAAAGTTTTCATTTTATTTGAGCAAAGAAGATTGTAAAAAAAATGTGTTGTACTTTCCCATTCAATGTGCTGAAATGTAAAAAGGGTCCATAACAGTACATCAACCATATTATGTTATCTTTCACTTTATTTAGGACTAATGATGGTTTAAGACATGTACTTTAATCAAAAACTAACCTTAGGGGTAGTTCACCCAAACGTTACATTTACTTACCATTTAATGAGTGACACAGAATTTAAATATGTACACTGAACTGCAAATAATCTTTACTTCAAAGTCTATACTGCCTGCACATATATTTAAGCCTTTTCCCCTCTGCGCTTTAATTATTATCACTATAAATGATCACAATCTCCCATATGATCTGATGATAGTACTTTTGTTTGATAGTAATGTATAGTGTCGGTATGGTATCTGTAAATGTTTAGTGTGTGAAATTGTTGGACAACCACTACACACACATTAAACAGGAAAATAAACATGTCTATAGCTTACTAAAAGCCTTTCTGTCTGTTCATATATTTTATATAAATGCAGAGCAGCAAGACCCATGGGATTTCATCAGCCACTCACCATCAGAGTCCTCAGTGGAAGCTGAGAAGAGCAGAAGAGGAAGCCAAGCAAGAGATGCCAGAAAAAAAGGGGGAAGGAAATAATGTGTTATTTTGCTGTTTGAGTATAGGCAGGCGCAGTGGGTAGCACAATCGCCTCACAGCAAGAAGGTCGCTGGTTCGAGCCTCGGCTGGGTCAGTTGGCATTTCTGTGTGGAGTTTGCATGTTCTCCCCATGTTAGCGTGGGTTTCCTCCGGGTGCTCCCACAAGTCCAAAAATATGTGGTGACATTGGGTAAGGTAAAATTGTCCGTAGTGTATGTGTGTGAATGAGTATGTATGGATGTTTCCCAGTGATGGGTTGCAGCTGGGTGGCAACACGTTGGCACAGTAGGTAGTGCTGTTTCCTCACATCAAAAAGGTTTCTGCATGGAGTTCTCCCTGCGTTCGCGTGGGTTTCCTCCGGGTGCTCCGGTTTCCCTCACAGTCCAAAGACATGCGGTACAGGTGAATTGGGTAGACTAAATTGTCCGTAGTGAATGCGTGTGAGTGGGTGTGTATGGATGTTTCCCAGAGATGGGTTGCAGCTGGAAGGGCATCCACTGCGTAAAACATATGCTGGATAAGATGGTGGTTTATTCCACTGTGGCGACCCCAGATTAACAAAAGGACAAAGCCAAAGAGAAAATGAATGAGTATAGGCAATGATAGACAAGACAATGTTTGATTAATATGAAGTCTTTTAAAATGCTTATTTATTAAAATAAAGGTTACAAAGTAAAGAATAAATATATTGTGTGTTTGTATATTTATTTCACTGCCTTCAAGATTTTACATTGTAAACTAAAGGGAACAAGGGGGGAACAAATGTTGTATTTACCCTTTAACTACAGGTAACAAGAGAGGAACAAAGCTTCACTTTAATTTACAACCCTCAAATGTGGTATTTACCCTGTAAGTACAGGTAACAAGAGAGGAACAAAGCTTCACTTTAATTTACAACCCTCAAATGTGGTATTTACCCTGTAAGTACAGGGAACAAGGAGGTAACAAGAGAGGAACAAAGCTTCACTTTAATTTACAACCCTCAAATGTGGTATTTACCCTGTAAGTACAGGTAACAAGGGAGGAACAAAGCTTCACTTTAATTTACAACCCTCAAATGTGGTATTTACCCTGTAAGTACAGGTAACAAGGAGGGAACAAATACTGTATTTACCCTTTAACTACAGGGAACAAAGAGGGAAGAAGCTGAACTTTAACATACTAGTGTATACTTGAACACTAAGAACAGAGTAAACTACAGCAGCAGTTTTTATTGATTGAAGACCAAATTACTAGATTTTTCTATAAAGCATCAGCTATACATTTACTGAAATGCAACAGTTAGCCCCCCTGTGCAACAGCAGTAAAGATGCGAGCCTGTTTTAATCTGCATTAAACCCTGACGGTAGGCCTATGTCATGCAAAGTTATTTGTTGATAGTGAGTTATGGAGACATTGATGGCTTTGGTGAGATCGACGAGTAAACATAAGGTAAGTAGTGTATGGAAATATATTTTATATTGAATTGCAGATTTAAAATACATACAGTATACAATAAGGGTTCATAATTTCACAGGTTGTAAACCTTTTATTCATTAAACACCCCATATAAAACCCAAGCACTGAATAAGAGTACTAATGTACTCACGCAGGTGCATGTACAGTACATTTGCAGATAGCAATAAGTTGTCACCATCCTTGCATAATTCTTTATATGTATACAATACTTGAAGAAATGTACATCGTAAACTTAATATATTTCTTTGCGTGATGGATATCTTATTGTTACTCCCCTTTTACGCAAACATTATGGTTTGTTCTTTTGCAATTTAAAGAAAAGTACAACGTTATTTCACTGTACTTACGCGGTACCTTTCATGCTGAATATCTGGTTGCTACCCCCTTATTACCCGAGCATTACAGTTTGTTCCCTTATACTTACGTAAACGTTATTTATACTTACACTATAGGTACAGAAAAGTACACCGTTATTTCACTGTACTTACGCGGTAATTTTCGTGATGAACATCTGGTTGTTACCCCCTTTTTACCCAAGCATTACGGTTTGTTCCCTCATACCTACACATACGTTCATTATACTTACACAGTACGTACAAAAAAGTACACTGTAATTTCACTGTACTTACGCGGTACTTTGCGGGTTGTAAAAGAAAGCGTTACCGAAACACAAAGACCAGAATCCCCAGCAGCATCGCAGCTTTTCTCTCTGATTTGTCGCTGATTTTGTTCTTAGAGGATTCTGTGCTGTTGTGAACCTGAAGGGCTCTTATAGCAGTCGCATGTTTCTTAGCAATGACAAAAACATGAGTGTATAATATTATAATGAGCGTACATGGCATTACAAACACAATCAGGAGATCAATAATTGATGAAGTCCCGTCGATATTATAAACACACTCTCCTGGACACACGCTGTCAGTGAAATTTCCATTAATATAAAAGAGAGTGAAGTTATAAATGAGTGAAAACAACCAGTTTAGCAAAGCTGCTGTACAGACGACATTGAGTGAGATTTTCTCAGAGTAAAAAAAGGGAAAACTCAAAGCCAAAAAGCGATCGACAGCTATTAAAGCCACAGTGTGAACAGAAACACTTGTTGGCTGAAAGTTCACAAATTTAAAAATCGAGCACATGACCGGACCAGAGATCCAGCATGATTCAATGAGCAAAGACAAATGAAGTGGTATCACAAAAACTCCCACCAGCAGATCAGACGCAGCCAAAGAGAGGATGAGGATGTTGGCAGGTGTGTGGAGCTGCTTGAAGTGACTAACAGAGATCATGACCAGCAGGTTTCCACACACGGTCAGAAGAGCCACAGCTGCTGCGGCCACATACAGAATCACATAGACAGATAAAGAAACAGATCTCTCTGGACACGAGTAGTCCTCACACATATCAGTTTGGTTCACTGCTGTAAGATTCATTGAATAAACATTTAAATGGAGTATGTTTTGCTGTGACTTTCTTCATGTGACAACTGTACACTGTAAGTACAGATCTCTCAAGATGTTTTTGTCTCTCCTGTGAAGATCTCCTCAGTGAATGTGCTCTTGTAGCTTCCACTACAGCAGATAAAGACGTGCTACACTGCCTTTTTATACACTTGACATGTTGACTCTTTCTGAGCATCAAGGGAAAAGAACATACAGCTGGGAGATCAACTGATTCTGTTCATCCAGAAAAACAGCCCAGGAAGGCTGTAATTACATCATCTACCAGCAGTAAATCATTTAGCATCATCTGCTTGAAGAGATATAGGCCAAAAATGAAAAATTTGCTCATAATTTTCTGACCTTGAGGCCTTTCAAGATGATTTTTGCTAAAATTTTAGAGCGGGACACAGTAAGCCAATGCCAAACAACTAGAGTCAATTAAACCCAATAGGGTTTTCGCCTCACGTTGACTCACATCTGTTTCCTTTGGACCAAAAATCCGCTTTCGAACACACCAAATGAATTTTTTTGTTTGATAGAACTTTAAAAGTCCATAAACACAGGCAAATCAAAATGAATACATTTTTCTCCTGATGAAATTGTGATTATTTTGGGCTAAACGAACCCTTTAACACAATCTTAGATTGCTTGCACAATATACAGGCGTTGGACAATGAAACTGATGCCTGGTTTTAGACCATGTTAATTCATTAGTATAGTGTTTCATCTCAATACAGCATCAATTCATCGTGGGAATGACAGATACAAGTCCTGCACAGTGGTCAGAGAATAGTCCACAGTGGTCCTGCAGAATAGTGGCCAAGTCTCTAAGTGACACTGGTGGAGGAAAATGTTTCCTGACTCGCTCCTCCAAAACACCCCAAAGTGACTCAATAATATTTAGCTCTGGTGACTGTGCAGGCCATGGGAGATGTTCAGCTTCACTTTCATGTTCATCAAACCACTCTGTTACCAGTCTTGCTGTGTGCGTTGGTGCATTATCATTCACATACACGGCATTCCCTTCAGGATACAATCCTAAAACCATTGGGTGCACATGGTCCTCTAGAATGGTTCAGTAGTTCTTGGCAGTGCCCATCTAGCACAAGCATTAGGTCTCGGAAATGTGATGTTATTGGAACCCAAAACCATCACTGATCCACAGCTGTGCTTTACTCTGGGCATGTAACAGTTTGGGTGCTATGCTTCTTTAGGGCCTCTCCTGTAACTCTCCCAGATGTGGAAAAGACAGTGAAGATGGACTCATCAGAGAACAATACATGTTTCGCATTGCCCACAGCCCAAGATGTTCACTGCTGGCACCATTGAAACTAACGTTTGGCATTGGTATAAGTGACCATGGTTTGGCTATAGCAGCCCAGCCATGTATGTATGAGATTTCGACAAACAGTTTTGGTGGAAACAGGACAGTTGAGGTGCACATTTAACTGGAGTGAGTTGGGCAGCTTATGGTTTTGGATACAAAAACCAGGCTGGTCAGATTTAACCATGAAACCTTTAACTCTAGATTGGCCAGTGTTTCAGTTTTATTGTCCAACCCCCATAGCATTTGAAGTGGTCGGGTATTGAACAGGTTGAATAGTCAGACATGTGCCATGAATACTGTTGCAGCAGCTTAATGTCGAAGGCTTGGCATCTCAATGCACGTTTTTACACACACAACCAATGTCCAGTCTTGCTTCCTCTTCAAGTTTAAATTCACTTTATTTAGCTTATTATAAATACATTGCAATTAATAATTTTGAACCCTTTAGCGACCTCAAAAGTGTGTGAGTTTGGTGTGGTAAAAACTGCATGCGTTCCCTTCCTCAAGTCTTCTTCTCTCATGCAAGAAACACCGACTTTAAAACCCTATGTGCACATATTGCCCCCAAGTGATGACAGCTCAAATTACATTCAAGTCAACATATTGGCTTCTACAAATACATTTAGGAAATCAATATCTAACTCACCCTTGCTTATAAGAGACAGTCTTGCACTGTTCTATTCTTTACAATTAAAACCCTTGTAGTCGCAGCGAAGTGCTTTAGATAGCAGACCCATTTCTCACAAGCCAGCTAAGGTCAGATTAAGTAATCTTTATTTCTGTACTGCTTTTACAATGTAAATTCTGTCAGTGCGACTTTATAAATGAACAGAACAAAAGAATAAAAACCAAAACAACATTCTGGATTATAAAACATGTTTAGCATATCTGGCAAGCAGCAGGGTAGAAGGTTTGTTTAGTTAGTCATCATATGTGGCCCAAGTTCTGGCAACCAGACCCAATCCACTCAAGTCTCATAATTCATTACTGTATTTGGGTCAAGTGAAAGTGTGTTGTATTTTGGTATGTGGGCATAGTACAGTATTGTGCACAATTATTCCTATTTCCTCAGTCAGAATCTGTTAATGGTATATGGAACCATACTGGGACCCATTTGCTTTAATAACTGAATCCCTTTATTAATCAATGAATCTCACATACACTACAGCCCTATATATTTTGGTTATTATTAAAAGAATGCAAAGATGACATGTAAAATGCTGAATGGGTTATTGTTAGTTGTCAACATAAAATGCAGGGAAAAGAGTTTACAAAGAAAAAGTTATGAAATAAATAAGAAAAATAAAAAAAATACAACAGAAGACAGAAAAAAACTACATGAGGGTTAAAAATGTTTGACAATCAAACTATTAAGTCATGTACAGTTAAAGTCAGAATTATTATTAGCCTCCCTGAATTATTAGCCCCATTTTGTCCCCCAACTTCTGTTTAACGGAGAGCAGATTTTTTTCAACACATGCTAATCATAATAGTTTTAATAACTCATTTCATCTCATTATGACAGTAAATAATATTTTACTATTTTAATAAAAAAATAATAAAATTTTAATAAAATTTGAACTATTATAATTAGGCAAGGTATTGTATAACGATGGTTTGTTCTGTAGACAGTCTGAAAAAAATAGCTTAAAGGGGCTAAAAATATTGACCTTAAAATGATTCATAAAAAAAAAAATGCTTTTATTTTAGCTAAAATAAACAATAAGACTGTCTCCAAAAGAAAAAAAATATCATCAGTCATACTGTGAAAATTTCATTGCTCTGTTAAACATAATTTGGGAAATACTTAAAAAAAAAGAAAAAAAAAATCAAAGGGGGGCTAATAATTCTGACTTCAACTGTAGCCTATCTGTTTTCTTAGTGGTAATAGTAGGCCTATGTACCAAAGTCACTTCAATATATAATTAATATTAACAGAAATTCACGTTGTGGATTTCATATTGCAGATACCACTTTATGAATCTTTAAATGTAGTTTTATTAAGACAAATATACATGGCGATATTTGAATGAGATCGAGTGAAGGACTGGAGTTTCCGCCGAGCGCCATCTCGAGGAGAGCTTCGATAAACAAATAAAATCATTTCTGTGGAGCTGTAGTTTCTCCAATGCATGCATTCAGGGGTCTGTGCGAATTTAATGCAGAGATGGCGCCCTCTGTCAGGCAGGATTTGGAAGACTTGTAAAGATATTTAACTGACAATAACAAAATAACAGAAGGGCATAGCCAAGAGATTATATAAAGAAACGTGAAATAAACTCAATAGTTGAGACCCAGTCATAAAAATTATATAAACACATACACATATAGTTAAAATATTACAAGGGGAAAACAAATATGTTAAAATGGCATTACAACAACATCCCACAAACAAACACGTGTAGCATCTAAATACATTTTTATTTTAATATATCGCTGTTTGTGAGTATCTTTTTGTATGAATCTTAGGTATTTATTTATTTTTAATTAGTTGAATAAATTTTAGAAGAGAGTTAATTGGAGATATGGTGCATAACGGTTGCAAATATTTGTTTGTGAGTTAAATTGCAGTGTGTTATGCATTTATTTTTGGTATTATCATAGTAAAAATCTTAGACTAAATAAACAATATTTATATGTTCATGGTGATGTTTTATAGCGTTATATTGCAAAACTTTGAGACATGCATTATAAAAACAGGAAAGGTGAAGGGAAGCATTTTGTTTTTAATTTTGTGACTTACATCACATTCATCAGCGAGGAGTCTTTATTAAACACTTTAAATGTGAAAATTAACTTTAAGCTTTTTTGAAACCATGGGTAGAATAAGGCGTAAATGATGGGGTTAATGGTGGAGTTCAGGAAGAACATCATTACAGTAACATCTCTGATGTGAAACAAGTTTTCACTAATGTATGGAATCACTAATGAAGTAATATAATACGGCAGCAAACAGAGGAGAAACACAAAGACCAGAATCCCCAGCAGCATCGCAGCTTTTCTCTCTGATTTGTCGCTGATTTTGTTTTTCGAGGATTCTGTGCTGTTGTGAACCTGAAGGGCTCTTATAGCAGTCGCATGTTTCTTAGCAATGACAAAAACATGAGTGTATAATATTATAATGAGTATACATGGCATAAGAAACACAATGAGAAGATCAACAATTGATGAAATCCCATCAATAATAGCAATACACACTCCTGGACACACAACATCAGTGAAGTTTCCATTTATATAAAGAAGAGTGAAGTTATAAAGGAGTGAAAACAACCAGTTTACCAGAGTTGCTATACAGTTCACAGTCAGTGAGATTTTCTCAGAGTAAAAAAAGGGAAAACCTAAAGCCAAAAAGCGATCGACAGCTATTAAAGCCACAGTGTGAACAGAAACACTTGTTGCTTGAAAATTCACAACTTTTAAAACTGCACACATGACCGATCCAGATGTCCAGCATGATTCAATGACCCAAGATAAATGAAGTGGTATCACAAACACTCCCACCAGCAGATCAGACGCAGCCAAAGAGAGGATGAGGATGTTGGCAGGTGTCTGGAGCTGCTTGAAGTGACTAACAGAGATGATGACCAGCAGGTTTCCACACACGGTCAGAAGAGCCACAGCTGCTGCAGCCACATACAGAATCACATAGACAGATAAAGAAACAGATCTCTCTGGACACGAGAAGTCCTCGCACATATCAGTTTGGTTCACTGCTGTAAGATTCATTGTGAAGCATTGGGTGAGTATGGTTTCCTGAGACTTTCCTCATATGAAGTTTAATACATGCAAAACAACAGATAAAGATTCCTGAAGACACTCCTGTATGTGTCTCTCCACCAGCTGTGAACGGCTCCTCACTGAAACACATTCACTGTTAAAGATGTGCCACAGCTCACACTGCCTTTTATACACTCGACATGTTGACTCTTTCAGCAGCATCAGGGGAGAAGAACATTCAGCTGAGAGATCAACTTGTTTAGAAAGGTTTGAGATAATCGTATAGTCTAATAACAAGTGGAATCATATGAAAAGTATAAAATAAAGTTGTCAATACTGTAATTCTTCACAAACTGTTTACATCTCCATGTTTAAGTATACTTACCATTTGACATGCAGAAAGCATCTCCACTTCACCCTGTGAGGCCACAGGAAACCATTTGTAAATGTTAAGAAAGGACTGTAATAATGTTATAAGGCAAGGACAGCTATAGGTGGATGATGTCTGGATTGTGTTCGCATAAACATAATTTGCATACTAATGTACATAATAGAATCATGGTCATCATAGTGGATCATGGTTGAACCCAGCTCAAGCAAAGCTCACCGACTATGTTATATAAAGTTTTCTAAATGACCTGTCAGCAAAATATATAGGAAATCTACAGGACATGTATGTAGACTTTGTTCTGAGATTGTTTCATTATTTTGGTGATGCATTTCTACATAATTATCAGGCGCAAATTTATCTTTGAAGCTCTTATGCAGTGAGTATTGCATACATTTAATAGTCCAATGTTTAAGTCAAATTTATAAAGGCTCATCGTCACAAAGTTGCCCTCACAATAACTGATGGTTGTGCAGGCAGTAAATTAAAGATTCATGAATGTCTCAGAAAGCTATATGGATATTAATAAGCACTACCATCGATATAAACATTGCAGGTATTTTGTTAGTGCTACATTTGTGCTGAAACTCGGGAGGAAGGAGGAACATGCTGTCAGAGAGCCCTCGTCACTGGGGGATGTTTGTGGTGCCATTGAGCTGGAAGAGCAAAGTCCGCCTGGTACACTTACCGCAGTCGAAGGAGCGGCTGTCATCCATGAGGGGACGGGAGAGTCACCACCGTTGGCAGAGAATAAAGACCTGCTGCTGTCCACCATGATGGGAAGGAGCAGCAGGCACCTCTGCAGTGCACATGCCCTTTTTAGTCTTGGATAGAAAGTGCCCTTCCAAAATGATCTGAAGTGACCCCCCCACCCCCTCGTCACTTCGCGACAACCACAATTCCCCTCCTTTAAATATTTTATCCTGCACATGCCCCTTGGACAGTCTCTGCACGGGGCTGAGGAGCAGGGAGAGAAAGGGAACAGGGGTCTCCCTGAACAGCAGGAGGCATCCCCTGCCATGCAGAGATGGGGGAGTTGAAAACTGCCCACCAAGGGCCAACCAGTGCTGCTATCAGGCATTGGGACTAAGGTTCTCTCGAGGATCAAAGAACAGGATGTTTTGGGAACTGGACCCATTTTTCCCCCCATATGCTTTTGCCTCCTTTCATTCTTGGCCTCTGTCATTCCCCATGTCTGTGAATCTGTCAAGGTGCTGGCCACTTGCCGGAGAAGGAGGCTGAGAGTAAGCACAGTCTTGGGGTGCCCCCTGGCCTGTAAGGCAGGATGGGGTCATGTCACAATGTGGGCAAGGCCAAGAGCTGTGGGAATGGAGCAAGTGATACCGAGCAGCAACTATTTGTGTACCAGTCTCGAGTCTCACGGGGAACTGTAAACCTAAAAGGAGGATTGACAACAGAAGATGATGAGAGAGGACCAGGCCTGGACACTGTTTGTTTTACGTTCAGGTTGGTTGTAGCCTCCGTAAGTAGTTGCTGCCTGTTTGCTTTATTTTTCATAATTAATTTTTTTGAAAGTTTGTTCTCCACCTCCTTCTTCTGGATGGCCCTGGCCCATAAAACTTTGCAACAATTAGCTCAGACTTTTTCAGGAGGTTTGTTTAAGAAGTGCTGCACACTTGACTCTTGAAAAGCCTGTTTACATTGTGTATACTGAAACCAATCAGAGGAAAACTGAGATTCTGCTGAAGTGTTTCCAGAAATGTGTGCCATATGCATCAGGCGTTTAGCCAAAGTTCCATGGGTTGAGTTTTGTGTCACATCTGAATCTGAAAGTACATAGAAGAAAGAACAGTATATGCTGTATGTCCTGGAGTATTGTTCAACAGCCATTCATATCTTGCATCTATAATGTATCACATGTCTGAAACATTAGCAGGCAAAATATATGATATAAGTAATAAACAAGTGGTGTTGAGGGAACTTCATAAGGGAAAAGGTCATTTATGGCCCAAAAATAAGAATCCCTAAAGAGCCGAACAACCAATAGTACATATATTGTCATTCCATCAATCAAATAACAACATTGTGCTACAGTCTCAACGAGAAACTTGAGTTCTTTTTCCCAGATACTGTCTTCAGCTCCTCAAGGGGATCTCGAGGCATTTCAAAGCAAGTCGAGAGGCATAGCCCCTCCAGCATGTCCCAGGTTTTCCCCTAGGCCTCCTACCGTTGAGACAAGCCCAGAACACATCTCCAGGTAGATATCCAGAAGGCAATCCCTAACAGATACCTAAGCCACCAACCGGCTTCTCTTGATGTGGAGGAACAGTGTCACTCCTCTGAGCTCCTGTGTGACAGCTTCTCATCCTATATCTGAGACCCGATGAAGCCAACAGGACAAGCAAACATGAAGTTATGTGGTCCACGATCCAGCATACACTCAAACTCATAGTCTTGAGTCTTTCTCGGAATGTGGTCAAAGCTTTGCTGGAGGAGAAAGTTAAAAATCACTGACACTTGAGTCAGACGTTTCCAGTCTCCATTCACAATATGGTTAGGCCTGCTGGGTCTGTCTAGTCGTCTAATTTGCTAGCAGATCTAACTCATCAACAGGTGGTGATCAATTGACAACTCTGCGGCTCTCTTTGCCCCGAGTGCCATCTGGTCAGAGGCCAGATGAAATGACCACAAAGTCCATGCTCAACCTCCAACCTAGGGTGTCATGGTGCCAAGTGCACTGTTGGATACCCTTATGCCTGAACACAGTGTTCATTATGAACAAACCATGACTAGCACAGAAATCCAACAACAGAACAACACTCAGATTCAGATCATTGAGACTGTACCTTCCAATCACACCTCGTTAGATGTCACTGGCCATTTGAGTGTTGAAGTCTCCAAGTGAAACAATGGAGTGTGGTCCGTGATGATTAATAAAATGCAATTTATTGGCTAAACTGGTACATTTTTCAGGATTGCACTCAACAACAGCTTGCCCCACTAGTTAATAGTTTATCAGACTTTATTTGGAGTGGGTTAGTTGAGGGCATTAGACTGATGGAACCAGGGGACCCCAAGTGGACATTAGTCCAGTTTATTGACTTTGTGCTGTGGTGTTGTGGATCCCCTTTAAAAGTAGGGAAAGCAGAGAAGTAATCTTCTAAATATGTTTTGTTTGGGGGCAGTAACTGGCTTTTACAGATGGCCACATGTCTTGCCAGTTGCCTCAACAACACCATGCCACCAATAACAATTGCCTAACCTGTTATCCTACCTTCTGCTCCCCAGTTCACTTCTGCATTAGTATATAAGATGTCCACCAGCCCAATGTCAGTACCCAACTGCAGCAAGCCAAGTGTTAGCTCACAATGTGGCTGCCGGTACCACTTCCCAAAAACACTGTCATGATCCTGAGCCTTACCCCATCATGGCCAGTGTTTCTGAATCCTCACTCTCAAGCCCCTTTGTGCCCTTGCTCTTAAGTGCTATAGAGCCCTTGCTCTTAAATGTCATGTATTTAGGAAGGTTCTTCATCTCAGCTACTTTGCCCACTATGGGGTTTGACCCCCAGCTTGCCCCACTATGACCTCCAGTCCTGCCCTGTCCACCTGATTGTCCTCCCTGCCCCTGATCTGTTTCCCATCATGGACCTGCCCTCAGCCCCTCTCCCCCCGGCACCACACCTCCATCCTTGAACTCTTGAACTCTACTTAGACTCTTTATTGTGGTTTATTTTGCAATGTCTGTGTGCAAAAGGCTGTTGAGCAATGTTGACTCTCAGAGACTTTTATTCTGAAATCGCGTCACAAACCGAAACCGGAATAGGCGCTACTGAATACAGAGTGAACTGTTGCTGCACGAGACTTTGCCGAGCGCGGCTCGTTAACTAAAGTGGCGCTGGAAACGTGTATTGCTGCTATAATGAGTGTCTGACTGGATGTAATTGTGCTTCTGTGCGTGTTATGAAAGTGAGTACAGTTCCGGTTATAACAATTATTTAGGAGTTATACTTATTAGTCCCAGTTATCACAGAGATACCTGATGTGTCATAGTGCTAATTAGCATGCGTTAGCATCGCGATCGCGATGCTATTCACTGTTTGTTCAGCTGAAGTGATTCAAATGTATAATGTTTGTTAGTAAATGTGGATGTTAGAGTGTGATTACATCCAATTATGTTCATTTTGTGAGGGAAGAGCCTATAATGTATATGTTAGTGCTGTCATGTGTAAGTTTGTTAAAGTAATGATGTATATTACTGATTGCTGATGCTGGAGTGTTGTTATTTGTCTGTTACAGAGAAACCACGACTTTCATAAGCACAACTCATCGGCTACACGCTCATTTAATCAGGAATTCACCAATAACCAGCTAAGCAAGTGCAATCTTCAGTATATTGTGAGGAAAGGGCAGTTATGCGTCAATGGCTAAGTGATAGACTCATAGCACTCTGAAGGCTCATTGGACCACGGTATTCATACACATACTTCGGACCAATCACAAGGCTGGGCCTAAACGTCACGTCTGTGTGCGACTAATAATTGTGCTTTATAAATCATCCTCTGAACCTGTGCACCGGAACCAATTGGACACTTCATTGTACATCTGCTAATATTCACAGTTGGCTCTTCTCTCTCATGTTAATACTTACTTGCCACAAT